TGATTAATCCACCGCAGAACATGTTCATGTGTTAATGTGTACACGTCAAGAGCTGTAAACATGTCAGTCAGACTGTACCTGCATGTTTCTGTACCAACTCCAACCCTGCGGACGCAGATGACAATATAAGCTGATTAATTCTGTGTAATAATAGCTCATGATAACACTTTAACTGTCATGCTCTAGGTTGATTAAAGTCAAGTGCAAACAAACACAAAGTCAATGCAATGTTGAGAAGGTCAAGTTCAGCAGAAAACACAGCTCAGAACACCTGGGGTCCGTTCTTCGTACCTCGCTTAAATGATCTAAGATGATTTGGCAGATTCTGGATCTTTTAATCTTGATCACTGATCTCTCGCTAATTTGGTTCTTCAAACAAGTTCGCGAATCAGATTAGAATGTCTGGATGAACTGATCTGAGATCGCTGCGTGTGTTGTTAAGGACAGATCTATCCATCCTCGAAATCATGATCAGCAATGCAACGATTGGCTGACGGCACAGCAGCGTAATGACATCATCTGATTAATATTCAATTATCCATGTGAGCAAAATTACATCAAATTAGCAGTAAACGGCTTGTGAAATATGACACGCAAGAACTTCACATTTGTTGTGAGCTGCAGGCTTTACACTTTCATTTGTCAAGACAAGAGTATTCATCATGTATTTCAATGCAAATCAATGTATTTAGTTCTACATTTAGAGAAGATTTTCTTTATTATAGTACATTTTTTAATCGGTGTAAAGAATAACTGGTTGTTTCCAAAAGCATTTTGATATTGGTAAAGGCGTCTGCAACTTTTGTGAAGCATCAAATCACCGTCATATTACCTGTCAAAACATGTTTATGACTGCATAAATGTATTATTGCTTTAAAAAAAGTCACATATTGTGCATTTCTATCACACAATTTGTACTAAAGCGATCTAAAAAGTTCATATCAATAAGTTTTCTCTTTGCACCACCAGGTGGCAGTCTTTGTACTTTCATTTCGAGGGTGCAGATTGCATAAGTTTTATTAATATGTAAAACTTTATTTATTTTATTAATGACTATAACTTTATATATATATATATATATATAGTTAAAAACTATTTACTATTTTCCCAAGTGTATATAACTTTTACTGTAAGAAAATATCAGCATTTGGTACATACTTTCTGTATTATCTTTGCTTGAACTGAGCCGATCTAATCTTGTTTATATGAATTGAACCTGCTCCCGATCAGGTTTGACCTAGTAGATCTGTTGCCATGACAACAACTCTCGGATCAGCTTTGAAGATCGAAACGATCCTGGATCGTGTCAAATCGTCAATATCCAAATCCAGCTAACTGAGTAATCCACGTACGAAGAACGGACCCCTGATTAGTGGAGTCAGAGCAAGGAAGATGTTTGCTCATGTTTATCCAGGACCCTAACCCTAACTCCTGCACTCATATGATTCCTTCAGATCATCAGTGCATTAGTGAATGTGCAGAGTCTGCTTGAGGCCATATTGTAAAGAGACAGCATGAATAGAGCAGATGCTGAACTATTCTCTATATGAGTGCTGTCACAGACCAAACGTCAACCCTGTTTTCATATATTCTGACAATATATCCAACAAGACTAAACATTTATGACACAACTTGATGTTATTTGTGTATTTTACTTTAAGTGTCCAAGTCTTGGGTTAACAGCGCCCTCGTGTAGATCAGTGGAGATAGAGGACGGGCATTAGGACCTGGCAATCCAGTTAGTCAGCACAGGCTGTAGCGATGCACAAGACACTAGCTGCGTCCCAAATCGCACACTTATGCACTATACTATGCTATTTTGTAGTATAATAGTGTGAGTAGTGTGTTCACACTGAAAACAATAATAAGTGCACTTTAGTTAGCCAGCTGATGCACTTGTTGAACCGGTGATATGAAGTGTGTAATGATGGACACTTCACACACTTTGCTCACGTAGCAGAAGAGGCGGAGCTATCGGGTGCACATGATGAATAACTTTATTTGTTTTGGATTGTGAAGAAAATTCTCCTACGAGAGGGATTATAGCGCCTCCTGATGGTGAGCGAATAGAACAGAAAGAATAGCCTCTTCTCTACAGTCCAAGCAGATGTCTTTATGTATTTGACCTGTTTCAGAAAGAGCCGTCATCAGGGAATCAGTACTGTCACAAGCTTAACTGGCGCTCTGGGCAAACAACGATCGTGCTGCTCTCACCATGTTCATGCTGACCGTTCGCGGACAAAAGTTAAGAGCCAGGGGGTGTCAACAACAGGAGGGTGTTGTTGTTATGGTCTAAAGTGAGGAGCGGGGTCGGGGGGGGGATTGTGGTTGTCTACATGCTGCCCCTAGCAAGATGCTGCTGATAGGCAGTGCCAGACAGAATCTGCGGACATGTTCTGCTATTCCTGCGCAGAATTTTGTAAAAAACCTGCAGATTTCTGTGGAATGATTACAAAAGTTTCATAACTAACACCTTAATATATGAACTCAAGAGAAATACCTTTTTAACTTTTTACAGTGTAATGTTTACAATGTCTGCAATGCAAATCCAATTAAATCCACTTTATTTGGTAAACAAAGCAAGTCTCTCATATAATATCTCTACTGAAAGACAGAGACTATGACTGCACACACTGCACTGTGCATATCAGATGAACATTTTCATATTAGTCAATAATATTCCTGAAATTAATTTAAAAACTGAATAAATACACACATTTACAGGTAAACAAACAGAATCAATGATGGACTAAACATCTGCAGATTCAGTGTGGGCCTACATCTCCCACATTTCCATGCCTAAATCCGCCCCTGCAGGAGACGGTGACTGGAAGACTTACTGATGTTGTGAGGAGCAGGCATGATGAAGAGTAACAACACAGCCAGCAGCACCACCAGACTAGCGAGCATCCAGTTTGACATGTGGAGTGTTTGAAATGGAAGAAGGAGAGATCTACTGACGGCAGCAGTCTGAAAATGAAGGACATTCAGTTGTGTTGTAATGTTCCTTTGCCCAAAAACATGAGTGAATGGCATTTCTAGAAGATGGCTATACTCTTGCTGGTGGATGATGCAGATTCAGTGTTTGTCAGCTGTGTGTCTGCAGTGTGTGTAGTGTAGTGTGTGCTGGAGTGATGGACACACAACACCTTCTCTATTTAGAATTTCCTGACAGGATCCAAATCCCAGTGATTTTGAGGCCGACCACAACCTGATGTAGCAGTGTGGGTTTCCCCGCCCACTGAATTGATTGACACACAGAGCAGGATTGGCAAAGAAACTGGCAAACAAAGATCTGACCAGCTCTCTCTGATCAGCTGCAGATCAACAATGAGTTTCACAAGTTTAAGGTGTGCACGTGTGTGTGTGTGTGTGTGTGTGTGTGTGTGTGTGTGTGTGTGTGTGTAATATACATCTAATAACCCCACTGTGGTGTTTCTGACTGATAGACTGGATCTCTGCTTCATCCGTGTCTGTCTCTGACTGCTGTATATCTGATGCAGGAGAAACACACACCATGTGGGAATAGTGGGCGGGGACAGAACCAGCTAATTTGCATTTAAAGGCGCAGGCTATAAAAACAGCTGCACCTTGCTTTGATGTTCTGCATTGAATAATCGCTGATCTGATGAGTGTTTGAGCGGAAACTTTACAGACACATTCTGGAGACACCAAACTCTGATCTACCAGCTTGTAAAAGGGGTAAAATAGTAGATTTTTGAACATCTTTAGCATCTTGAGGATGAATAAAGCTCATCTGGGTCCCAGTAAGGTGATATACAGCTATTTTAGAACTGATGTTGTTATTTGTGCTCAATATTAAACTGAGTTTTGATTATTTTTGCTCACCTTATTCGGGTCCTCTGAGTGGTTGATTTCTTGAATCTTCTTCAGTCTGTCCTCCATCGTCTGCTGAAAATGGAAAAGGATTGAACCTCTGGATGAGTTGTAAGGTAGAGCAGCATGTAAACAGATAATACATGAACAGAAATCACACAGCACCTCAGATTCTGCTGGACGGCTCTCCTGCTTTAAGTGCTCCACCACCTCTCTCAGTGCGATGTTGACCTTCAGATCAGGCTGTTTGCTGAATTTCTCTTTACAGATCGGACAGCAGCAGGTGTGTGTGTTTGTCCAGTACTGGTCCAGGCAGGTTCTGCAGAAGTTGTGTCCGCATGGAGTGGTGACTGGATCAGTGAACACATCCAGACAGATGGAGCACTGGAGCTCCTCATTCAAACCACAGGAGGACACCATCCTGGAGAGGTAAGCAATGGATATAGGTTAACTGCGACTGCTAAGTTTAACTTTGTGGATAAAATTGATGAGATGAAAGACGAAACAGGGATATTTTAAAATGTAGTCCACAAAATTGTCACAGTTAGGTTAGATTAGTCTGATTTAGTGTTGTTAATAGTCTACGTCTGTGTTCCCATGTCTTCTTTAGATGTTGTGACAGGTTATTATATGAGTATTTAACACTCACAGCTGTTTGTATTTGGGTTTCTGTATTATCTTTGTGAATTGGTCTTTTTCAGTGTGAAAGCAGTGATGATTCCTGCACACAAAATGAAGATCAGAAGTACAGTGTGGGGTACCGCAGGGCTCAGCTCTTGGTCCATTACTTTTTACATTGTGTTTTCTATGCTACCACTAAGTCAGTAAGAACATACAGTTATTCACGCTGATGATACCCGACTCTATATGGTGTACCGCAGGACTCAGATGTTGGTCTATTGCTTTTTACATTATATATACATTTACATTTTATTTTTATCCGTCACATTCGCCAATTGGTGAAGTTTTTTCCTTGCCGCTGTTGCCGCTGGTGTGCTTGGTATGGCTTGGTATGGAACTCGTGGAGCTGCGCATGGATGGATTTGCTCTTCAGTGTTTGGACTCTAAGCAGTGATTATTAAACCACACTGAACTGAACTGAACTAAACTGAAAGTCTGAAAACTGAATTACACTGTTTTCATTCACTATGATCTTGTTTGTGAAGCTGCTTTGACACAGTCTGCCTTGTAAAAGCGCTATACAAATACAAATATAAATAAAAGTGAATTGAATTGAAGAACAGTTTGTTTCCACTGTTATACAAACTCTGTATCTCCTCTCAACCTGAACATTTGTATAATTCACAGAATTAACAGATTATACGGCTGATATTAAAATGGATGAATAAAAACTCTTGCTTATTGGACCCAAATATCTGTAGCACAAAACCCAGAACACTGACCGGTGACGGATTCTCAGCTCAGCCCTCATGATCAGTCAGTAATTTAGAGGTGATGTTGGATGGCAGGCCAGATCTCCAGCATCTGTAAACCTGCACTGTTCATCTTAAAGATGCAGCCAGACTTCCACATGTACAGTACTGTCAGTGTCTGATGCGGAGATTACTCGTGCTGTCATGAGCTCTGGGTCAGACTACTGCATGTGTTATTATCTGTGTGTCCTGCAGGCTGATCTGATTTTGGTTCAACAACACTGTGATCTGGCACAGGGTAAAGTCTCTACAGATCACCGTCTGAGACTGAATATGGCCTACAGTCTGCCCGATCACTTTAGGGTGGAACACTGACCTTTGGACCATTCTACCTACTACAGTAGTGTTTCAGAGCTGCGCACTGAACTGCGTCTCTGTAGAAGGAAACACTGTTGAAGAGCTGGAAACTTGATATGAGCCTGAAGAACACCATGATGATAATATCATAACACAAGCTCTTCTACATGTGTGAAGCACAGCACATTTTATATTATAGTCAAGAAAATAATCAGCTCATGTGTGATTTAATCTGTTTCTGTCATTAGTTTTTTGTGTCTTCACTTCACACAGTGTCTGTTCCTCTGCTGTGAGGGCACGTGAGGCTGCTCTACAGTAACTGTCTGACAGTGTAAATCAATAATAATGTACTATTGTACCATTGCAGAGTTTAACATTGTCAAACAAGATCTAACATTTGCTAAACTTACCTGTGAGTGAATATCCGCGGTGTTCTCCAGATACAGGAAGGTTTTGTCTGATTTCTGCTTCTGCTTTCTCTGCAGTTTTCTTTCACTTTCCGTCTTTAGTTCAATGACGTCACGCCGAAGCTCCGCCCACTGTCTTATTTCCTGATGAACATGTACAGGTTTCTAAACACACACACACATAGGCTACATGCAGTATTGTAAAATATATTTTGAATAAATAATTAGACAGGGCACACAAGTGTGGTTCCGAAAGCGTTGTTTGCTTTGGGCAAGAAAATAACATTTTAAATAAAAAAGATCATTTTGGTGTAAATGTATGCAGTGACAGTTGTAGTTTAAATGGCACCCTGGGCAAACCCTCCAATTTATTTTTCAATAAATATAACAGTTTTATTATGTTTATTATAAATCAATACAATTAATATTATTATACAATTATTATTCTAAATAAAAAAATAGAGTGATATGCTAAGACCACTTAAGAAATATTTTGCATGAATATTAATTATGAAAATTCTATACAATACAAAAAACAAATATGTTTTATAGCAGGGGTTACCAACACCAGGTAGCCCGAGAGGATCACATGAGTTGCCCGTGGACCTGTTCTAAAATTAGCTCACCATAGCACCACATACCAGTAAGCTGCATCTTATTGGTTTTGTAGCTATTCTTTTTAAATCACACTTGCATTGGTGTAAAATTGAAAATGACATTAAGGTATAAATCTGAAAAAAATCTTTAAAAACTATTTCAGACAAATGAAGTGTTGCATATTGATATTTCTCTGTTTCCTACCTTGTTAAATCATTGTTGAAAACTATTGTGAGAAATTATTAACATGATCAGTGTCTTCACACAGATGAATATCATTAATTATTAATAATAACATATAGTTAAAAGTACATTCAGAAAATGTGTTATTTGAGAAGTGTGTATAAAACTGGTAGCCCTTCTCATTAATCTGTACCAAAGAAGTAGCTCTCAGTTTTTAAAAAGGTTGGTGACCCCTGGTTTAAAGAATTATCTGTTGTCTTAGACCCGACTCATAACCAACATAATATTAAAGGAGTCATGTTGAAGAGTTCTGAGGAGTAAAATCCATAACTAAAGTTAAAGTAATTATATGAATTCACACCAATTATCCACTAATTTGTAAAATATTTTACACATTGATGTGAATCTTTGTGACATAAATCAATCCTGTAAGTAAAATTCTAAATAAACCAGTGGTCTTATATGGGCTATATTTTCACATCTGCACACAAGTACAGAATCACTTTTTAGGATACAGTTGAAGACCAAATTATTAGCCTCACTGGAACATTAATTTTAACTTTTCAGATATTTTCCACACAAGATTAACACATTTTTCATCATGAAAGTATCTGATTATTTATTTATTTTGTCTTACTTTAATATTTCTGAACTCATCACTGTTTCCCAGGACTGGAAATCTAAGACTAATTATGCTCTCACTTCATTCCAAACCTAAATGAGTAATCGTGTCTCTCACAATAACAAGTTGTTTTAAAAAAGAAACTAAAACAAATGATGGTGAAATATTTTAATCCAGTGTAAATGGGACTTTTATTACCGTGGTAGGTGTAAATCTGGATTATAATACATTCAGTTGATTGGACAACCACCCTAACGTGCGCGTGACGTCACGATCAAAAAACGCGAATCTGAGGCATTTAAACTTAAGAGTCAGTTTTCTGAGGAGAACGGATAACGGTCCGTCTGAGAAAAATATGCGGAGTTATGGAGTTATTGCGCTGCATTTCTGCTTAAAGCAAACTGTCACGTTCAGGATTTAATGTCAGCCATGTGATTAACACGTCGTCTTTAGTTTACTGAGGAAATTCTCGTCTTCAATCCAGCGTTGATTACCAGAGCTACAGAAGAACAACCGCCGTATCATCAGAAACAGACCAAAACTCTTCAGAAAAGTTGTAAGTAAAAGGTAAAACAGCTCATGTGTATGCTTTTAGCTCAGAAATTAAGTGTGGTGCCTCTGCTCTGTCAGCTGGTGGTGCTAAAGCACAGTTCTACTGTTTACAAGCTGCCGTAAACGAATGAAGCAGAATCATGATGTTTCCTCTTGTTGAAATTCATTCTGGAGCTTAGAGATCAACAATGTTTGGCTAATTGTCACTTCAACCCTCCAAAACCAAGTCTCAGATTCTTTATAAAGTGTCTTGAGAAAGTGTGTTTTAGTGAGTTTTTTTATATATATACAGTTGAAGTCAGAATTGTTGGCCCTCCTGTTTATTTTTCTCCCCAGTTTCTGTCTGTCAGAGAGCAGATTTCTCCAACACATTTCTAATCATAACAGTGTTAATAACTCATCTCTAATCACTGATTTATTTTCTCTTTGTCATGATGACAGTAAATAATATTAGACTAGATATTCTTCAAGACACTAGTGTTCAGCTTAAAGTGACATGTAAAGGCTTCACTAGGGTAATTAGGGTAAAGTTAGGGTAATTAGGCAAGTCATTGTATAACAGTGGTTTATTCTGGAGACAATCCAACACTAATATTGCTGAAGGGGCCAATAATATTGAGCTTAACATGAGTTTAAAACTATTAAACACTGCTTTTATTCTAGCCTAAATAAACAGTTAACAATTCCTGAATCTGAGAAACATCATCTGAGGAATATAAAAAAAAAAAATAAACTAAAAAAACGAGGGGGATGTGGGGGGTGGTGGGGGTGGGGGGTTGGGTAATAATTAATAAGACTTCAACTGTATTAAAAATATATTAATTAAAAAAATACATTACTGTAGTAACTATTGGGTATATTACACTGCAGTATACAGTTAATAAGTTCACTATAGTTATCAACCCTAATACTCTTATTATATATAGAGGAGCTATGCAAGTATTCATGTGTGAGGTCATGTGACCACTGGTGTCATTGATTGTTGGTTAGCAGGAGGGGTGAGTGTGGGAAGCTCACATTTGCTGGTTGACCATACTATTCATCAGTTTGGTTTTGTTTTAGTTTTTTGTCTTTATGTTAACACTCAGTGTTTGTAAAATATGTGTCAAAGAAAAGCACAAGACGCACATTGAAGATCATTGAGTTGTTCCTTTACTCAGCTCCTAAGGTTTTATTTGTTTGTCGTACACTACATAATGTATAACATTCATGAACAGTTTTAAATGTCATAATATAGTACTCTTTACTCTTGGGGTTCAAAAACATAATATTTATTATAAAATACTACAGTAAAATTTTCATACAGACATCGTTCTACGCAAAAAAAGCAGATGACAGTGTACAAAAGGATGGAAACAAACAAACTCAATTCCAAGGTACTCTACATTCATCTACTAGTTTTGCACAGTTGGGCATTTCTTTTTTGTCCTGCTGATTAGCCTAGTAACAAACATTAAATCCTGCTGTGCCTGAGTTACACTTATTTACTTTACTTTATTAGATTGATATTCAAATGCCACAGAAAAGCCAGTAAAGGCATGGTTTATTGCAAAACCAGACAGATAAGTCTTTTTTTTTTTTTTTTTTTTGATGTTGTGTCTTTATTAACAGGAAGGTAGCTGGACAGGACATGAAATCAAGATCGAGGGGGGATAGGATTGGGAAAGGTCCACAAGCAGGGATTCAAATTCGGGACATGCCTTTCTACACCAATATGCTTTCAGCACATTGCAATTACATAGCAAGGTAAGTTTACATTTGCATAGATTTTGTATAAGTGTGTTGTTTGTAGTATCTGTTTTTCATAAGACATAAGCATATTATTGAGGTTGGTAATTCTATACTGTTATTATATTTATTAGTGCTGTCAAATGATTAATTAGGTTTTAATTTATAGTATGTATACACATGCATGCAAGCTTGAAAAAATGTTTATTTTAAGCCCCCTTTTTTCTTGGTTCAGGCAGTTCTTGAAATGTTTTCCTTTACTGGCAAAAACATTTTTAACTCTATATTAGCTCAGCATTGTTTCTCGTTTTGACCAATTTGAGCATCCATAACCAATGCACAACCTAAAAATAGTTCCTATGTAAAATAATCTCTTCCTGGTCTCCATTAGAATTTTGTGTTGCACAATGAAAATTTGCAAAAAAATCTACAGGCTCATGAAGATGATTCTATTCCATTAGGTTTGTTTCTCACTTTAAATCTGTTTTACAGTCAGCAACAATAATCTTGTAAGCAACACATACGAAACTTGCACACATATGAAAATTGGCACTCACATCAAACATGCTAATACCCACAAAAAGTCCCTTTGAGCAAAATCCGAAATCAAACAGAAAGTCATTTTATAATTTATAATATTGATCTTCAAACTTTTTTGATCATCAGTTGCTCGGAAATATTGAGATAAATATGAAGACATTATGAAAGAAAATATTGATTGACGAGTGCTGTGCTGATATCGCTCAGCAAAACATACAGCAAGTGTGTCTTTATTGGGAAAGGTAATTAAAGTTCTTTGTTCTGAACTATTGTAAATGTCCTATAGCTTCAAGCATTACTCAGTCACTTATTCCTTTATTTAAAACAGGTCACCTTAGCAGAGAAAACCATGCTATCATTAAAAAGTAATAGAAAGTATTTAATAGTCAATAGATTAATCAATTAGAGAATTAATCGAATAACAGTGCTTATTGGCAGCCATAGTACATTGTGATTTTGATAGTAAATTGCAAAAGTAAAGTATTAATGAAATACAAAAGCAATTGTATTAATTATAAATGCATCAAGTAGACATTCAGATTTCATACTTTTTCATCTTGTTCATTTTAATAGACAGGTGTGATGATCAGTGGCTTTGAGTTCTTCCCGTCATCATTAAGACATGGACTGAAGTATGGATAGAGTGTTTCAGTGAAAGTCTGAGCAGTGAAAGAGTAGATGTGAGATCCGTCATTCACATTATAAAAGGAGACCAAACCCTCTTCATAATCCACAAACACTCCAACCTTCTCAGGTTTTGCTCTCTGAGGGAAAGAGACCACTGGATCATCACAAATTAAATATTCATTCTCATTAATCAAAGCCATGGTCCAGAATCCATTTGCTGGAGTCAGCTGGTTTGTCTCTTTCCTGCTGATGGACTCTCTGGCCACTCCTAAATCCCATTCCTTCTTTCCCTTCACCTGCACCTCATAGTAAAATTTCCCAGAATTGAATCCCTGTTTCCCTAAAACACTAACAGTGTAATCGAATCTTTCTGGGATTTCTGGGACATCATACTCGATGTCTCCATGACTGACTTGTTTTTCATCATCAGACAGGATGAGGAATGGATTCGCCGTGTCAGGATCCAGAGTCACATCCACTGAGGGAAATCAGACATTGTTAATCAACTACAGAAAAAAAGATGCTTTTGCAATATTTAAACAAAAATAACACATTGCACCTGTACAAAAGAAAATGGTGTCAATCACACTGTACCTGCGTACTTCTGTACCCACTTCAACCCTGTGGAGACAAGATGAGATTATACGATTGAATTGTTCACAGGAATAGTTCCAGCTTAAAGAGCTTATTTGGTCAAATCATTTGTAAGTAAACGTGGCTTATCTAACATTTCATAAAATCTTATCTTTGTATACTGTTTAGAAATTCATGCAAGTATAATACAATTATGTTGGCCTCTGCACTCCAAAGTCAAGGTGCTTCTACTTGTACATGTCAAGTGGTTTTAGGACTTTTCCTGTGGGCAATGTGTTCCCAAGGCTGGTGGTCTCTGTTCTTCCAAATTCAACGATCTTTTTACTACCAAGTCCTGTGGTCTTTCAAGTCTGGAGACCTATGCATTTTAAAGTCCAGAGAACTACATCTGCTCCCACATTTGGTAACCTCTGTGCTCCTTAGTCAGATGCTCTTTATGTTCCCAAGTCCAATTGTCACTCCTCTTTCAAGTTTGGTGGTCTATGTTCTCCAGAGGCCATTGGACTCTGTTCTCAGCCGTCTAATGTTCTGTGGTCTAAAATCCAATGCTCTCTGAGTTCCAAGACTGGCCTGGTTGCTCTTACAAGTTTGGTGGTCTCTGTGTAGCCTATTTCAGTGGTGTCTGCATTGCTGAGGATTCCACTCATAAGTCCAGTGGTCTTTTAGTAACCATGTGGTGTGTACCCAAATTGGTTTCCTCGCTTCCAATCCATGGGAGATTTAGCACTTTTATGTCCAGTGGTCTATGCTCTCCTAAGACTGGGGGTTTCTAATCTACTAATTCTGGTAGGCATTATGTGCCCAAGACTGATGGTCTCTTTGCTACCAAGTCCAGTGATCTATGTGCTAGTAAGTGGTCCCTACTTATTCAAATCTGATGATCTGTGTTGTCCCAAGCCTGATGGATATTGTGTTTCTTTGCCTGTTGGTTTTGTGGTCTCTGTGCTCCCAGTCCCGTGTTCTCTCAAGTCCAGTTGTCTGTGCTCTTTCAAGTCTTATGTCAAACTAGATTAAAACCTATCTGTTTTGTAAAGCATACACTCAGCGGGTTTCCACACAGGTTTCTGCATCTTGTTTATATACACTATGAACAGCAGCTACGCTAATTATTCTCTTTATTCTCCATTTCCACCTAGGATACTCATCCTGAGGTCCTCAGATTATACGGAGTCACTGATTGGATCCAAGACCAGCGACGAGATGATCCCAAGGTGTCCATATCCGGGACCAGGCCATATCCTGAGCTGCTGCGCTGTTGGTCATGGAGGAGTGGAGAACATGGGACTGATTACAGTGACGCTCCAGGGACAGACGAGTCTTCGCTGAGGCCATCTTCCAGCCTCCACCGCTGAGACTGCAGCTCTGCACAAGACTTTTGGCCAGTGGAGAAAATAAAATGGTCGTGCCCAACTGAGTCTGGTTCTCTCAAGGTTTTTTTTCTTCACTCCCCTATTGGTGAAGTTTTTTCCACTCTCCGCTGTCGCCATTGGCTCGCATGGTTCAGGATTGGTAGAGCTAAGCATCGATGAATTTGCTCTTCAGTGTTTGAACTCTCAGTAATGATTAAATCACACTGAACTGAGCTAAACTGAACTGAACTTCAACACTAAAAACTGAACTACCCTGATCCAGTTGCTATGATCATTTATGTGAAGCTGCTTTAACACAATCTTGTAAAGCTGAATTGAATTGAATTGAATTGATGGTCTGTGTGCTTCTAAGTATACAGGACCCTAAAAATCTTATATCTGGTATCTTTAAGTTCTGAAGTTCTGTAATCCCTGAGTTTCTCATTTTTGTTTCTTATTCGTCCCCTAACTCTTTGTGTCCTTTGTCCTACGAAATCACACATGAGCTGACACGCATGTTTTTTCATTATAGAGAGAGAGAGTGCACGTGCCTGCGAATGAAGCCTGTGTGCTCGTAACCATTTGCCTAGGCTTTTAATCAAATGGTATCAAATCATGACTTGAGTGTATCATTACACCTCTGGTGTTTTATATTAACATACCAGTTTGACAGAGTTTTTCATCTAGTGTCTCCTGAGTTTTCTTCAGTATTGTCAGAGCTCTATGCAAAGAGTTCACATTCACATCAGTGTCAAAACTGATCTCAGAACAGTTCTTCGTGTATGGACGACTGTACAAAGATGAAAACATCTATAAGAAGAGAAATTACTATTACAAATGTTCAGTTTTATTAGAAAATTTACAGGGACAATTCAATTGGTTTGAAAATAGAGGGTTTATTCTGTAATACTATACATTAACAGTGTTGAGAAAGATGTAGACAGACCTGTATGAGGTGAAGATGATCTCGAGAGTGCATGTGCTTCTCCAGCTCAGTGTTTCTGCTCTTCAGCTCCGTGATCTCCTGCTGCAGCTCCTTTATCAGATCTTCAGCCTGTTTCTCTGCTGCTTTCTGCTGCTCCTCCATCATCCTCAGCAGATCAGACTGACATCTCTCAAAGGAGAGGATCAGACCATTAAAGAGCTCCACACTGCTGGACTTCTCCTTCTCTGTGTTGCTCTGATCAGGGAGATTATTTACAGATGAATGTATTTTGCATTTACATTGTATTATATAATGCAGGATCAGCATCCCCCTACACCCTGAAATCTCAGCTGTCAGCAAATACTGTACACTATTTAAACAGAAGCAAAGATAGACTGGGTGAGCTTGTTCTCCTGTGAGATGACTAACATATCATATCCACACATACTAGCAGCTGAGGACCGGCACCACTTAAATATGGAAATATGACACTAGTTGCTGTTTGCTCTTTCATCTGTTTTAGATGCCGACTTGCTCTCTCTCCCTGTCCACCGCAACTCGCTGCTTGATGGAGGATATCATGCATGGCCGCTATCACCACCAGCCAGAAGCAGATTGCCAAGTACATGGTTGAGTGCGTACCAGAAGCCACTGCCTGCAACCCTTTCCGATCCGTGTACCATAGCCCACCAGTATCTCACCAATCTCAGCAACCCGGACGATGTTGAGGTGTGTCTTTACACTTTTGATGTCATCACAATCCAGGAGACCTGGGACAAGTGAGAATGAGTGCTGGCCCCTTTCCTTACAGAAGAAGCTGAACAGGTTTATTATTCGCTACCAGTTCCTCAAAATGAAGGCAAAACAAGGCAAGTCTATTTATATAGCACATTTCATACACTGGTGATTCAGAGTGCTTCACACGAAAAGCAACAAATGAGAAAAGTGTAAGAAAATAAAAACAACAGAGAATAAAATGATAAAAACAGATAAAAACACCCTGCTCTGACTGAACTCCTGGAGTTTATAGTGTATTTGATCCTAAAGATCTGAGTTATCTGTTAGGTTTTTATTCAGTGAGCATATCTGTAATGTATTGAGCTCCTTGACCATTTAGTGATGTATAGAGCAGTAATAATACTGTAAACTCTATTCTGAATGTAACTGGGAGCCAGTGTAGAGACATGAAGACAGGGCTTTGATTTGAAATGAAGAATATGATTTGGTAAAGGCAGATATTCTGACCTGAATCAGCCTCTTGCTGGTATGCACCACCAAACTGTTTTTTTAGACGTCAATTGAACCTTCCTCCTGTTAGAGTTCAAGCTACCCACACTGTAAAAAATAAACGTTATTTTACAGGTAATTGTCTGTATTATTTTACAGAATTTTTTCAGTTTTTTCATTATACAGTGAAATACCTGTTGTTTTACAGATATGTTCTGTAATAAAAAATCTTACATTAAATTTACAGTTATTGCTTGTATTTTGGTATTACATTCTTTTTTTGTTTTTTAAAGGAAATGTACTGTATTTTAAGAGAGTAACACGTAATTTTACGTTAATATTTACAGATTATTCCTGTAAAAATAAACTGTGAAAATAAATGTTATTTTATAGATAACTGTCTGTATTTTTTACAGAATTTTCCTGTTTTTTCATTACACAGTGAAATATATATTTTTACAGATATTTTCTTTATTTAAAAATTTCAACATTTAATTTACAGATAATTGTTAGTATTTTGGTATTACATGTTTTTTCAGGTGGCGCAGTGGGTAGCACGATTGCCTCACAAGAAGGTCGCTGGTTCGAGCCTCGGCTGGGTCAGTTGTCATTTGCATGTTCTACCCGTGTTGGCGTGGGTTTCCCCCACAGTACAAAGACATACGGTACAGGTGAATTGGGTTGGCTAAATTGTCCGTAGTGTATGAGTGTGTATGGATGTTTCCCAGTGATGGGTTGCAGCTGAACGGGCATCCGCTGTGTAAAACATATGCTGGATGAGTTGACAGTTCATTCCGCTGTGGCGACCCCTGATTATTAAAGGGACTAAGCCAAAGAGAAAATGAATGAATGAATGAATGTTAATCATGGGTTGCCACAGCGGAATAAACCATCAATTTGTACAGCATAAGTTTTCACGCAGCAGATGCCCTTCCAGCTGCAACCCATCACTGGGAACACCCATACACACTCATTCACACACATACACTATAGACAATTTAGCCTACCCAATTCACCTATAGCACATGTGTTTGGACTGTGTGTGAACCAGAGCACCCGGAGGAAACCCATGCCAGCACAAGGAGAACATGCAAACTCCACACAGAAATGACCACTGACCCAGCCGAGGCTCGAACCAGTGACCTTCTTGTTGTGAGGCGACAGTGCTACCCACTGTGCTGTTTATTTTGCAAATAAACTTTTCAAATTCTATTTAGAAGATGACTAGTTTACAATAAGAAAATACCTGAAAATAAGTACAAAAACAAGTACAGTAGCCTATAGTAGTTCAATTATCACACCATTGGCAAATTAGACTGTACAGCACTACAATGCACAAATGGAGTAAAGTTTTACTTTAATGTACTTTAATGTACTGAAAATTAAACTGGCTTTGAACTTTCAATTCAATATGTAGTAATGTAGTTGAACTGTGTTTATACTTCATTATATTGCAATTTTGCAGTAGCAAATATTTTTACTGCAGTTATTCTTTATAGCCTGCTGCTATTGTTCAGTTGTACTGCAGTTTTACATCAGTATGCTGTTATTTTTTGTAAGGGTTTGTTATATTGGTTTGTAAAGTATGAAATGTAAAAGTAACACCAATAGCAGCAAGATGTTGAGGTTTACAATAATACATGTGATGATTATGTGGATAAACGTGACTTTTCTGTAGCCTGTTAAAGTGAAGATTAAATTGAAGTTATAAATGTCAAATAATAGCCTAGTATTTTAGGCCACATACTGTACAGTACATGCACTGTAAAATACAAAAAATGCTCATTTTAATTATTATATTTATTTATTATAATATTTATGACGTATGCCATTATATAAATTTTCTCCTAGTGACTAATCACACATATTATTTACTTGTGTATGCATGTTATGACCTGTAAACATTTTTTCTAATCAATCTTTACAGTTGCAATGTGAAGTCAACAAAAAGTTAACTAAACATCCCCAGATAGCAGGTTTAATCGGTCCGAGCTCGGCTGCACTTCGGCGGCTTCGACTCGGCATCGGCGAGTGTTATCCGGGCCGAGTGCAGCCTGCAGCTCGCTCGCGCACATGTGGTTGTGATGCAGCTTTAAAGCACTGGCCCGATTCCAGTCAACCATATCTGGCCCGAGTCTGTCTGTAGAGCCCGGCCCGCTTCTGGCAAGGACTCAGCTGAAGGCAACCGATTAAGTTCTTATTTTATCTAGTAATCTGTTAGTTCCACGTTTAATGATAATTTGAGAAAATATTCATGGTAGGACAGCAACAAAATAATAAGAATATTTAGTGTGGATGGTCGCAATTGTTTAGACGCAAACAAAACAATGGTATTTATAAATGGATTATATATATAATCTAGAGAAAAATGGTGTAAAATGCACAGGTGCCAACACGCTCCTGTGCCAACTGTTTTTTTAAAGCAGAAGTTGGTTTCATAAGAAACACATGCGTAAGTAGACGAGATATATACCGTGGCAGAACACTGGAGTAAACTCCTGATCCAAACTCCAATCCAGACGGTGGCGGTAATGCTCCAAAAAGCTGGTTGCCGACTGCCATGAAGATCACAGGAAGAAAAAGAAGTTTGTTTGGTTTTTCAAAACTTTCATGTGGATTCTGGTCAGAAAGGTAAGGTTTTTACTGCTTGTGTACTGTATACTTAGCGAATTTAGAGCTTAAAACATTTTTCCACAGTGTTTGATTGTAACAGTGTTTAGTAATCTAAAACAATTTGATATGAAATGTAACTTGCTTTAAGTAACACGACTGGAGCTAATGTAAGTTATGCTAGCGCTAACGTTACAAACATGTCTGAAAGTTCCTGTTCCTTTAACACAATGTTAGATTGTAACGTGTGTAGTAACTGAAAACTATTTTAATTATTTTAAAGAAACATTAAACGAATTTGTGTGTATTCTAACTTTGCGTTAAAGAAAGTTTCTGTAGACGAATCCATTAACTAACATGGCAAAACATGTGCTTTTAATTCATATGTGTTAGCTTATGTGAATCAATTATATCTTTTATTCAAGCTGTAATGTTCAGTTAATGTAAAACTGAACATCTTAAAGCAGATTTTGATATATTTTTTTTGTTATTGACAAATAATTCTGATTTAAATGAATGGGTAACAATATTTGTTGGTTAAGTCTTATTGTTCTTGTTTAGCAAAGGTTCGTGAGGTCATTTTGCAGCACATCACGACCAAAGAACCACTCTTATGAACATGTGAATAGGCATGTTATAGTTACGTGCTTAACGTCCACTATAAGCTGTAAACTGCTGATACATTTTCAACATAGATTGAGCTTTTCAGACTTTACATTACTAATTGCTTCACAAACAGCTGAAATGGTTTATTGTTATTGGCTATCATCATCATCATCATCAAACAGTTTTCACAATGGTAGGTTAATCTTCATGGGTACAGAATAATGCATGTGCTTGACCATCTTACAAATCTATGTCTCAGATTCATAAGGCTGTCACTCTGCATGACTCTCCAAATAAATCTTGTGCAACCTTCTGTGTACTGATTATTTACACTATAGGTATTATAGGCATTAATTAACTTTGATAGTATTTCAGGATTTGAACTTTTCTTTACGGGAGGTTAACAACAATTTGATGTTTCATTATAGATGCATATGAGGAAGCTCGACTCAAACATCCACACGCAACTGTGATTTCTGACTGGCAGACAGATGAGGATGATGATCGCCTGTCATACATCTAAAGACAGAACAGGTTTGTTTGCAATTATTTTAAACACATAATGTCATTGATCTATTACAACCAGCGAGTTTTGCACTGGCACTATACTAAAGTAATGTTTTGTTTTGTAAATGTATCTGATCAAGGGACATTAAAGACAACTATAACATGATGAAGAAAAATTACTTGGAACAAAGAGGCTGGACAAAAGGCAGGTATGAAGATTTTAGAAATCAATGCAGCACCACAAGTACCATCACCATCAATGACTATGGCAGAAATCCAAAGACCACCATGAAGATGCACAGATACTGTACATTCCAGTACACCTATGAACATTTACAGTCCTTGTTCTAGTGCAGTTGGAGATCAAGACAGAACTTATTGCAACTCGTCATGTCTTTGTAAGAAATCAAGACATCACTAAACGTGTAAAGGCTTAATACAGTTAAAAAGTAAAGATCAACTAGAGAATATCAGCAGTGTCTAACTCACTGTTGTATTTACACAAGTTGTATGAGAATAAGCTACAGGTTGATTAATTTGTTATTTTTCTGTTTTAGCGTGACTGAATGAAGATTTAAAATCACACAACGTCATAAAGCAGCAGCTGGGCCTGATTCTCACAAACCAGCAAAACCAAAACAGACGTGATGAAATTCCAGATGTAAACACATTTGACCTTCCTTTGTCCAATTTTACTTGGAAAAGCTTAAATCAACTAAAGGAGCAGCCCGAACAAATGAAGAAACTGGTAAGTTCAAGCTCTTGCTTATTTCAAAGTGTTTTAAGTTTATGTGTTTTATTTATTTGTTTGTTTGTTTGTTTGTTTGTTTGTTTTGCTTTGTAGGTAGCCTACTTTGGAATCATTGGTGTTTTCCACCAAGCAGTTGGCCGTATCCTGGAAAAGATTTTGGTTAACTCCTTGGCTAAACAAATTAACTGAAGCGGGCCAAATTAAAAAGTGGCCTTTCGTGCACTCCCCCTTAGGACTGTCGTAGTCAGTAAGTTGGTTTTGAATATACATTTTAATACAATTAGGGGCCGTTTCATCTGTGCATTTCTTTGAATTATTCACCAGAGGAATTCCGATTCCGGCGCGGATGCGGCAGCGTCAGCTCGCTTACGGCCGCTGCATCTGGCCCGATTGGTTCGGGCAGTGAGTCCACAGCCAACGAGTGGTAAGTCTCCGGCAGGCCACAATCTAGCCAGAACTGGCCCGAGTGTATTTTGCCATATTGATAACATGTATAAGTATGGTAATAATCTGTATAACTACCATAATAAGTTGTGTAATTACATAAATAACTTGTATAAATAAAGTAATAACATGTATAATCACAGTAATAACCTGTAAAACTACCATAATAATGTGTGTAATTACATAAATAACTTGTATAATTAAAGTAATAACATGTATATTTACAGAAATAACCTGTATAACTACCATAATAACTTGTATAATTACATAAATAACTCGTATAATTACAGTTATAACATGTATAATTAAGGTAATAACCTGTAACTCTAAAACAGAAAACGACTGTTTTTTAACAGTTTATCTACATCTTTTATTAATACAGTTTTTTTTGTATTTTAACGTTTTTTTTCTGGCGCCCCTGCTGCCAGAAAAAAAAACGTTTTTTTACAGGGATTTTTTTTACAGTGCAGCTCACTTTTCTCCAAGAGTCCAACTGCTGCCCAGGTTGCTGAGAAAGTGTTGATCAACCGTCTGCTACAGGCACTTCCTTGCCAATAGTTGCCACTAGCCACAGCCATGTCACCCTGCAGCCAAAGACCATTAACTCACTGAAGCTAAGCTGGGCTGAGCCTGGTCAGTACCTGGATGGGAGACCACTAGGGAACACTAGGTTGCTGTTGGAAGTGGTGTTAGTAAGGCCAGCAGGGGGCGCTCAACCTGAGGTCTGCATGAGTCCTAATGTCCTAGTAAAAGTGAAAGGGATACTACAGTGTCAGTGGGCGCTGTCTTTTAGATGAGCTGTTAAACCGAGGTCCTGACTCTCTGTGCTCATTAATAATCCCATGGCACTTCTCGTGAAAGAGCAGGGGTGTAACCCCGGTGTCCTGGCCAAAGTCCCTCTATCGACCCTTATGATCATGGCCTCCCAATCATCCCCATCCACCGAATTGGCTCTATCACTGTCCCTCCACTCCACCAATAGCTAGTGTGTGTGTCTGTTGTCATGGTGTGTGTCTGGTGTGTTTGTTGTCCTGTGGCAGCCGTCGCACCATCCAAGTGGAGCTGCACACTGGTGGTGGTATGGAGAGACCCCCCTCATGATTGGGAAGCGCTTTGGGTGTATGACCATACACGATAAATGCGCTGTATAAATACACATTACACATTACACAGTACAGGGGGCTGGTGAGCGTGAGAAATCCTATCTTGCTCATGGAGCTTGTTAAAGCCATGGAGCTGGTGGAGGCATAGTTTGCCTGTGACGTTGCAGAGAGAGCTGGCCCTCATACCCTGAGGGTAAACCCAGATTGGAAACAATTGGAGAGCAGTTCGTGACCAGTAAGTAGACCAGCATTCCCCGGCCCTCCAGATGAACGCCAACTGAACCTCCATCTCCGGCTGCATGGACTTGGCTTACTGGTTGCATTGTGTACTATGTGACAGCCAAAATAACCCCAACCGCTCCATACAATTGGAGGGAATGAAGGTGATCATTACAGGGGTCTAGGGGAGTGCTAAGCCTCCTTCCTGGCCACCAAGAGCGACACAGTATGTGAGTCTGGTAATCATAATCAAAATATGTAAATGGATCTGTTTAACAGGTTACTGCAAGATTGTCCTTTGAATGAGAGCAGTGGGATGATGACAGGCTGAAGAATTGATGGCCTCAAGTCTGGTTGGTGGAGTGTATCATCAGCTAGCACCTCACTTTTTTTGTACTTCTTTGTGGAAAATGGTGTGCTTTACTGCTTTGCCCAGCAGTGGGCGGACGAAAAATGTCTTTTGGTTGTCCCATGTGCCAAAAATGATCCCTGTAATGGAGCTTGCCCACTCCCACCCCATGACTGGCTATTTAGGAGCTGCTCATACCACCCAACATTTTCACTGAGCGATATTGGAAGCTGATATAAAGGGGTTCTGTAGTGCCTGCATCACTTCAGTGACCTTTCCCATCCTGCTCATCACATTACCCATTACTATCATGGAGGTGCCCATCAGCCACAATGGGATGGACTTGATGGGCCCGCTGCCAAAGTCCACTCGTGGCCATGAATACATACATCAACCCTTCAGTCTTTTAAAATAAATGCTAATAAACCTGTTAGGCTTTATTTTGCGAAAACAACTGACTGTACATTATCCCTTACTTATTAATTCAGTATGTATTCACTCACCTTTCTCAGCTGTACTGAGTGCTGGATCTCTTGAATCTTCTTCATCCTGTCCTGTACCATCCAATGAACACCTGTCTGTGTTTCAACAAGTTGATTCTTCATATGGAAAAAACACATTACAGAATTTACCTTTGCATGTTTGAAGTTTCAGTTTCAGTTTCAGTTTCCTTTATTTATGTCATTCAAATCATCACAATAGAATTGTAATGCAGAACGAAATTACGTTGCAACAGACCCAACAAGAACATAAAAAACATCACTATAAAAACACTATAAAATCCTTACATGATAAATAAGCTTTTATAATTCCATAAAATCTAAAAAATATAATTATATAAGATATAATCCATTTTTAAAAATCTCTGAAGAGAATAACCTAATACTCAAATACCTATTTCACCATTTGTTGTAATATTAACAATTTATGCTAGTTTAACAAATTTATTATTTAACACTAGCTTTCAACAATGCTTAAGAAATGGTATTATTTAAAAGTCTTATAATGACAGGATAAAAACTATCTCGAAACCGCACTGATTTGCTCCTCAGACTTCTGTAACGCCTGCCTGATGGCATGAGTGAGAGCAGGCTATGACCAGGGTGGGTTGGATCCCCTAAAATGTTATTTGCCCTAGACAGACAACGGCGTTGGTAAAGTTCCTCGATAGATGTCATTTTGACTCCAACAGACCTTTCAGCTGACTTTATGATCCTCTTAATGGTGTTCTTATCAGACACACTGCTATTCTCATACCAAAGGGAGATGCCATTTGTAAGAACACTCTCAACAGCTCCTCTGTAAAAAGTTGTGAGGATTGATGGGCTGAGATGTGCTCTTTTCAACCTTCTCAGAAAGTGCAGTCGCTGGTGCGCTTTCTTCGCAAGACAAGTGGTATGGAGAGACCAAGTCAGGTTATTTGTAACATGGACCCCCAGGAATTTTATCTGCTGAACAGTCTCCACAGCAGTGTTATTAATATATACAGGGGAATAAGTGGGGCGTTTCTTTCTGAAGTCGATCACCAACTCCTTAGTTTTATCAACATTCAGAACTAAATTGTTATCGCAGCACCACTTTGTGAAGAGCTTTACTTCCTCCCTGTAGTTCCTCTCATCATTATCCTGGATGAGACCCACTATTGTGGTGTCATCAGCATATTTAATAATGTGATTAGTGCTAAGTTTTGCACAACAATCACGGGTCATCAGAGTGTATAGCAGTGGACTCAAGACGCACCCCTGAGGGGAGCCTGTATTGAGCAGAGTGGTAGATGACGAAATACCCTCCACTCGCACAAACTGTGGCCTATTAGTCAGAAAGTCAAGAATCCAGTTCCGAAGAGGTGTATTCAGACCTAGAGATGCTAATTTGTTGACCAGGTGCTGAGGAATAATAGTATTAAAAGCAGAGCTAAAATCAACAAACAGCATCCGTACCGATGTGTTTCTACTCTCCAAGTGTTCAAGACTCAGATGCAGTGCAGTGGAAATAGCATCATCAGTAGACCTGTTTGGCCGATAGGCAAACTGAAGTGGATCAAGTGAAGTAGGCAGGATGGAGGTGATATGACTTTTTACCAGTTTCTCAAAGCATTTCATTATCAGTGAAGTTAAAGCTATCGGCCGATAGTCATTTAAAGAAGTGACTGAAGGTTTTTTTGGCACTGGAATAATAGCAGATGTTTTGTAACATGATGGCACAACAGCTTGATGCATAGAGATATTAAATATGTCCGTCAGTACAGGCGCAAGTTGTTCTGCACACCCCTTGAGTACTCTGCCTGGTATTTTGTCAGGCCCTGCCGCCTTACCAGCGTTTACTTTCTTTAGGGTCTTGCGGACATCAGTGATATCAAAGCTTAGCACCTGCTCGTCATGCTGCAATGTGGCCTTCACTGCTGGTGTATTATTAACAGCATCAAACCTTCCAAAGTAGTTGTTAAGATCATTAAGAAAGTCAATGTTATTTTCACAGGACAGTGAGATGCTTTTATAGTCTGTAACAGACTGAATACCCTGCCATAAACTTCTAGTATCTTTGTGGTCCTGGAAGTATTCTTTAATCTTATTTCCATGGGCTCTTTTTGCCACTCTGATTGCTCTATTCAGATTGCCCCGAGCAGACCTAAGAACAGCTGCATCCCCACACTTAAAAGCAGAGTTTCTTGTTTTTAGCAAAGCCCGCACCTCTGCAGTCATCCAGGGTTTTTCATTTGCTCTGACTTTAATGTTCTTAGTGACACAGACATCCTCCATACACTTAAAAATATAACTGGATACAGCATCAGCATATTCATTAATATCTGTGCCTTGACCATTTGTGGAGGCCTCTCTGAACACAGTCCAGTCTGTGCAATCAAAGCAGTCCTGTAATTCAGACATAGCTCCCTCTGGCCAAATTCTCACTTGTTTTATAGAGGGCTTGGTACTTGTGAGACGGGCTTTGTATGTTGGTATTAACATAACAGAAAGGTGATCTGATGAGCCAAGATGGGGGCGAGGAACTGCTTTGTATGCCAGTTTAATGTTTGTGTACACATGATCCAATACATTCATACCTCTTGTGGCAAAATTTACGTATTGAAAAAAGTGAGGGAGCACTTTCTTCATGTTTGCCTGGTTGAAATCACCTGCAGCAATGATTACTCCTTCTGGATGAGAAGTATGAAGTCTGTTTATAAAATGGTATAATACATCAAGGGCTTGTTTTGTATCTGCATCTGGAGGGATATATACAGCAATAATAAAAACAACGGAGAATTCTCTCGGAAGATAAAAGGGGCGGCACTTTACTGTCAAAACCTCAATATCAGGCGAACAGTATGAGTAGATCATATTTACATCCTTGCACCATCTATTATTAACATAGATGCAAAGACCACCACCTCGGGATTTCCCGCTGAGTGTGCTGTTTCTATCAGCCCGGAATACAGTTAGCCCCGTTAGGCTTATCGCTTCATCCGAAATGGAATCGTTTAACCACGTCTCGCTAAGAACTAGTGCACAACAGTCTCTCACCTCCCGTGTCGATGTTAACTCGAGTCTGAGGTTGTCCAGTTTGTTTTCTAATGATCGGACATTTGCCACCATCAGTGAAGGCAGCGGTGTTCGGCAGGGAAAAGCTCTTAGCCTAGCTGCTGCTCCTCCGCGAACCCCGCGTTTCTGCTTGCGCATACACCGCCGCCGACGCCACCTCGTCCGGGTGGTGTCATTAGATGTCTCCTGTACTCGGCGGGCCTCTTCGCGACAACTCAGTAGTCCGTAGTCTTTTAGTGTTTCTATAATCTTCGGATCAAACCAGCAGAGTTTGCTGGCAGATTCTAGTAGCAACAGATTCTGCCTGTCATATATCAGTTTCGTTTTACTCATTCTAACACTATCTCTGACGCTATTTTTTGTCTTGTTCTGAGCCGATGCAGCCGCAGCCAGCGAAGGCGCCGCCCGCCTTTATATTAATTATATTAATGAACAAGTGTTTTATTAATATAATGATTTTTTGTTGTTGTTGTTGTTGTTGTTGTTTTGTAGTATGTTTAAATTTACATAAGATATATTTGAAGGCAGATTTATTTTGAAACACTGACCAAATCAACATTTAACTGGAAAGGTTATTGGTTCATTTTCATGCTAAGATGTAAACACACAGGAGAGAGATATTTAATGTGTTGTTTAAAGTGTTGTAAGACTCTTGCCTTCTTCTGCTGGCTCTCCTGCTCTATGGGAACAGTGCTGTGACTCTTGTGTTCTCCTTCAGTGCAGGACAAACACACACACATCTGATCATCTCTGCAGAACAGCTCCAGAGGTCTCTCGTGTTTCGGGCATATGTAATCCTCCAGATTCTCCACAGCGCTGATCAGTGTGTGTTTCTTCAGGCGTGGGACTCTGTAATGGGGCTCCAGGTGATTCTCACAGTAAGAGCTTTGACAGGTCAAGCAGGACTTCACTGCTTTCTGCTTTCTGTCTTCACAGATGTCACACAACACTTCAGATTCTCCTAGACTGAGCTGCTGGTTAAAGTGCTGCACCACCTCTCTCAGTGTGGTGTTGACCTTCAGATCAGGCTGTTTGCTGAATTTTTCCTTACAGATCGGACAGCAGCAGGTGTGTGTGTTTGTCCAGTACTGGTCCAGGCAGGTTCTGCAGAAGTTGTGTCCGCATGGAGTGGTGACTGGATCAGTGAACACATCCAGACAGATGGAGCACTGGAGCTCCTCATTCAGCAAAACACTGGAGGACGCCATACTGGAGAGGTAAGCAATAGATATACATTAACTACAGCTAAATCTAAAAGTGTGGATAATATTATTAAGATAAACAACAAAAAAGTCTATTCTAGTGAATTTGTTACATTTAGTCCAGGATGGTGTTTTTTTTTTTTATTCTGTTGTTTTTCCACAAATGTTTAGTTTGTTTTGTTGTCGTTATTAGTTTATTACTTTTGTTTCCTTTATTTTCTTTATTTTCTGTTTGCTTGTTCTGTGTTTAATATTTTCCATAGGTGTAATGACAGATAATCATGTAATTATGATATTTTACACACACCTGTTTGTAATTGAGTTCAAGCACTGTCCTTGTGTATTTAGCTTTTTCAGTGGGAAAACTAGGTATTGATTGTTGTTTACGAAATGAAGAGGAACCATATCGATCAGAAGTGCACTGTTGGAGTAATGTAAGGCTCAGTTCTTGGTCCCTTGCTTTTTTCTTTATTTATGTTACCACTTGGTGATATTACTAAAAACATGGAGTTAGTTCCCAACTCTATATGAGGTACTGCAAGCCTTACTTCTTGGCCCCTTACTTTTTGCATTATACAGTGCATCCAGAAAGTATATTTTTGTAACAGCCTTATACCAAAATGGAATAAATTGACTGATTTCCTCAACATTCTACACACAATCCCCCATAATGACAATGTGAACAAAGAGTTTTAGAAATTGTTGTAACTTTATAAAAAATAAAACTCCTGATAAATCAGATGTACATCAGCATTCACAGCCTTTGCTCAACACTCTGTTGATGCTCCTTTGGCAGTGATTACAGCCTCGAGTCTTTCTGAATATGATGCTCGAGCTCTGCACAGCTGTCTTTGGGAATGTTCGCCTGTTCCTCTGCAGTTCCTCTCCAGCTCTATCAGGTTGGATGGGAAGTGACGGTGTACAGCCATTTTCAGATCTCTCCAGAGATGCTCAATAGGATTTAGGTCTGGGCTCTGGCTGGGCCACTCAGGCACATTCACCGAGTTGTTGTTGTGCCGCTTCATTGATATGTTGGCGGTGTGCTTTGGGTCATTGTTCTGCTGGAAGATGAAGCGTCGCCCCAGTCTGAGGTGGAGAGCACTCTTGTGCAGGTCTTCATTCAGGATGTCTCTGTACATCGCTGCATTCATCTTTCCCTCTATCCTGACTAGTCTTCCAGCTCCTGCTGCTGAAACACATCCCCACAGCATGATGCCAACACCACCATGCTTCACTGTAGGGATGCTGTTAGCCTGCTGATGAGCGCTGCCTGCTGTTCTCCACACGTGTCGCCTGGCGTTCACTCCAAACAGTTCAGTTTGAGTCTCATCAGAGCAGAGAGTTTAGTTTCTGATGCTCTGAGAGTCCTTCAGATGGCAAACTTCCGTCTGGACACTCTACCATAAAGATGATTGGTGGATTGCTGCACAGATGGTTGTCCTTCAGTAAGCTTCTCATCTCTCCACAGATGATGGCTGGAGCTCAGTCTACAGATAATTCCTTTGTCTTCATGCTTGGTTTGTGCTTTGACATGCACTGTCAACCCTGGGATGTGATTTTTCAGATTTTTTTATTGTTATTAAATTTGCAACAATTTCTAAATCTCTTTTTTACATTGTCATTATGGGGGATTGTGTGTAAAATGTTCAGGAAATCTATCAATTTAATCCATTTTGAAATAAGACTGTAACATAAGCATGTGGAAAAAAGTGAAGCGTTGTCAATACTCTCCAAATGTACTGAATGCACAATACAAATAAAACTAATCATAATACAAATTTCAGCAAATAAACCCCCCTAATGTGTTTATGCCTTTATTAAGATTTTCATATTAATGTTTAGTTTTACCGTCTTTTTAGGGAAACTCCTAAAATAATAAATAAGTTATATCTCTGAACTTCAATAATAAATCTATGTAAAATGCTGCGCTTCCTACCTCCTTTATTCAGTCACAGTGAGTTCTGGTACTTCTGGGAAGTCTGCATTGGTGCATCCTCAATATTAATAAGACATCGGGATACTTTTACGTGTCCTACGTTCTTGTGTTCTTGGGTTTTGGAACTGTAATTTGGTGATTGATGATGAAGTTACACGAGAATGCTGAAGAATGCATATTGAGAAACAGCTTCTGTCTCTTTCACACACACAGTTGCAGATCATTTACACTGATTACACTCGCTACAAAAGCACCACATTCATACTCAACCATTGCTTAGTCTTGTATATTTCTGTTAAATGTGCATTTAAGCATCTTAGCATTTTCTAAAATTGCTAATTGTTCCTGCTGTTTCTGTTTTTGGTCCCTGGACTGTTTTTATTGTTTACTGTTTGTTTGCTGGCTGCCCTGACCTTTGCCCGTTTGTTGGATTAGCCCTCTTTGGATTACCCATGTTATTGCTGTCTGCTCCTGTTGACCATCGCCTGTAAGACCAACCTTATTTAAATAAAGCTGCATTTGAAACTGCATTTGGAATTTTGAACACCATCATCCGGCGTTTGTTAATTGTTTCAGCGCTTACAGTAAACAATGTCAAGACGAGACACAGGCTCTTTTGCAATATCAAGGTGGCAAACATGTTTGCCCTCTTTTAGACTACACTAAGTGCCTTAAGCTACATCTTCTAAATCTTTCTAATGAATTTATTCTTGTGGCATACAAGGTTGCAGCATTTAGTCGATGAATGTGCATCGTTGTCAAATTAAAGATGACAACTTCTCCTTTAAATGGCTTTTAGTTGTTAAAGAATGTGGTTAGCTTGTTTAAAGGAAATTATGTAAAATAAAAACCAGTGTTTCCAGTTAAGCGTGTTGTATGCATAAGACTTCCTGCCAGTGATTGAAAAGGGCTGAAATGACAACAGTCCCAGGTGGTGTCAAGCAGCCAGATGACTTGAACAGAGTACTTAAGAGAATGAGGCGGTGATGAAAGCCTATAAGTAGATCCAGGTTACATGGCGTCCTGAAGAGGGGCATTAAAGGAATGGCTGGATTAGATGTGAACATCACTGACCCTGACTAAGTGATGGATAGGGAAAGAGGCTTGTTGTTGGATTGGACCATACTGTAACTGTAAGACCAAACTATGCAGAAAGGGTTTTCCATTGGAAGAAGCGTGTGAGTAACAACACAAGCTCATTCTGAAAATGTAGCCCTGCGGATGTTTCTGGAGATCGCGATTTTCATGGCCGGAGGTACATATGGCCACATTTTGTTTTTTTCGAGTGAACGCTACAGAGTGGTGTGACGCTGCTCCTCTTTTTCGTGCTCGCCGGCTGTGACGGCTCACCTCCGTGTGGAGGGTTTTCCCGCCGCAACAAGTTTGTCTGCTTAGCTCATAGTGTTACGTCGGCAGAGCAGAGGCCCAGAGAAGGAGGAGGAGCCACCCGCGGCGACGACCAGGTTCGAGTCCGGGGAAGAACGGTTCCAGAAATCAGGTAAGTTAAAAAACAGAATCCAAAAAATTAAAGTGAACGAGTTCATGATGGGGCGAGAATGCGGTAAAACCTGAAAACTCAGTCAAAATCGGACGAGGGCTTTTCTTTTTTTTCTGGACGGCTTTTGTAAATCGTCGCTTGGGTTTAGGGAAGGAGGAGAGTAGCTGGGTCGGCCGATTGGACGGCCGCCCGCCCAGTCCATCATTCAGTCAGTTGGACAGACGGTTGCTCAACAGCAGCCTCCGGCGGCTTTTCGCGCAAGATCAGCGCGGGCGCGAACGGCATGCGCTCCCGAGCGGCCTCTCGAAAACAAAAACTGCATAAATACATACCTCCCGGGACGTATTTCGTGGTCTCCAGAAACGTCTGCGTGGCTACATTTCCACAATGAGCCTGGGTTGATGAGTAAAGTCAATGCATCTTTATTTCTTTAGCGCTTTTACAATATAGATGAAATGTCTTAATCATGCCATATTTCAGACTGTGGAACAATCCAGCATATCAGGCAGACAGGAGAGAAATTGTTTACAATGTATGCTTACAAATCTGAATTTGTGGTATTTGATTAAATATATGTAGATTTGTATGTTACAAATCTAGAGCTGTACAATTCTGGGTAAAAAAACTTGTAAACTGAACCGAGAACGCTGTTTGTGGAAATATCTAATGAGACATTAGTAAATGAATAATCTACTGGCTGCACATTGATCTGTTGTTGTTAGAATGTTTCTATGCCCATATACATGATGCGACTTATCACAACCACAAACTGTGTTTGGTTGCTTTACCCGTCAGTTATATGGCACTGTAAAACCAGGCAAAGTCTAATGTGACGTTTGCAACACAATAAAGCATACACTAAAGACACCAAATATATCATAAATGACAGGTATATGAATGACTTGTTTTTACATCAATTAATGTAGCATATAATTGTCCCCTAAAACATTATGCTGTTTAGCCAGGATAATCAGTGATGTTTAACAAGAACGTTGATTTATCTTGGTTGTTGAAGGAAGTGAGGTGTACACAATGCTAGTGACCAGGAACAATAAACAAATAAAAACATTTTGTAAAAAACTTGACTCTAAAGGTGATTTTACTAAATTAAATGAGTTGAATGGTTGTGGATAAACTTGAGCATTTTCACCTTTTATAAACACTCTGGCGCATAACTCTTGCGTAATGAATCTATTTGCTTATTTTTCCCCTGTGGTTTTTGTATATTGTGCATTGACACTCATTCTGTTTCAGAATGATATTGCTTAACAGTAAGGCCCAATCCCAATTCTCCCGCTTAGCCCTTCCCCTTACCAAATTCCACAAATTAGTATTTTTTGTCATTATTATGAATTGTTTTAACAAACAAGCACATGTTGAATATATTCATAACTGTGTTCGTGTTTTACCGTCATGCTTTAAAAATAAAACCTGCTAAAATAAAACCACTAAATTTGGCAACAATCATAACTCCTGTACAGCAGTCCCACAACATCCTGACACTTGATGACACTCCAATACCCTGTCAGTGATGTCTAGTGGCTGGGAATGAACTGTTTACAGCGTCTGCTATAATGTTAATGCTGTTTTGGTGTGTGTTTACACAGATGAATATGGCCACTATGTAAATGCTCAGTACAGTTATGAGCTTATAGCCACATTTTATGGTCATGATAACATGATATCTGCGTTCAGTGATGTCCTGAAGATAAACACTAAAAAATAGCACAACTGGAGTTACTCCAGCAGTCGCCATCGTCGGATCTCATATGAAGCAAGAGATCATGATGACATATGATGACGTGTGCAGGTGCTGTAGTGCTGTCCCAATTCTTAGGGGGTATATTTTGAAATTCTTCCCCTTCTCACTCTGTTTTAACGGCCAAAGGAAAGGGGAAGGTACAAAAATAGAATTGGGATCATACTGATCAGTAATGTCACACTATTAAATCATTTCAGTGTTTAAGCTGCTGAACAGATCTTACATATTCAAGCCAAGGCAGGTTTATTTCTATAGCACATTTCATACACAGTGGTAATTCAAAGTGCTTTACATAAACAACAAAAAAGAGACAATTATAAGAATATAAAAACAGCAAACCTATTAAAATGACCTCGTATTACCAAAGCTTACCTGTAAGTTATTGTCAGCCGTTTTTCCCAGATTCAGAGTCTGAATAAAGTTCTGATCTCTGCTTACTTGGTCTGAGAGTTTGTTTCACTTTCTGTCTTTTACTCACCTGCAGTGATCGTGTCCCGCTGAAGCCCCGCCCACTGTCTTGTTGTTTTAAGGTGATATATAGGTTGTTGTTTTTTTATTACAGTAAAGCAAAATCACTGTTTAAATTTACAATTAGGCACGTCCACAATTGAATATTACTGCAGATAAAGCACATTAATGCAGTAATGTTAAAGATTATTTCCTAACTAGCATTTTATGTATCCTAAAAACAACAAATGAATCAATTTTTCATATTTTCCACAGCAGACCAACACATTTCACTGGACTGGAAATTTGGGAGAGAAAATGCAGGTGAAGAGCAGAGCCATGATGGAGATGCTTCTGTTCTTCAGGTGTGTTTATTACTTTACGTTTTTTGGTATTTTACATGTTATTTTTTTAGAATGTCTGTGGTGTTGCTGGAGAATGATCAGTTGAGATCAAAATACAGCCAAAATTATGATATATTTCAACAGTCCATTAACGGAAAACAAAGAGGCAACCAAAATTATTGACACAGAAGAACAACAACACAGAACGGGGAATATAAAGGGGAAAAACAATGAACCAGGCAAGATGACGAGGAGGTGGAGACAA